CTCTTGCTTTTGCAGGCCTTTCTTTAAAGGAATACCAACATTGGGGGGGGGGGGGGGTATCTATTCGGACTTCCCTGATTCGCCAAAGTAAGCCTGCACATCATCAGTTTTGCACCGTCACGTGCGACTGCATCACATTTTACCGTCAGCATCGTCGTAATCTTTCGGAGCCATTGTCATCAGGATCATTGTCATGACCGTCACCGTCATCATCATCATCATCCTCATCATCACCATCATCATCATCATCAACATCACTACCGGTATGCTCATTAAGAGGTTTTGTTGCACTTTTATGGCGCTGAACGCTGCAGCTTGCCTGCAGACCCTGGACATGCTTCCCATTCCCCACTTTCGTACCAGAAGCCAAAGGTTTTTCGAACACCCTTAGATAGCCAAAGGGAGAACTGTAAACTTCTTGGCCTTATATAGTTAGTCTATGATAGAAAGTTTGAACATTTTAAACATCATACCCTAAACCCTAAACCCTAAACCCTAAGCCCCAAGCCCTAAACCCTAAAACCCTAAACCCTAAAGCCTAAACCTTTCACGAAGAGAGAACCAGGCTCAAAGCGGATGCCAGCGCCGTGCGGCTGAAAGGAAGTTGGTCGCGCTGGGTGCTCCAAAGAAATTCATGAGGAGACTCCTTGTTAGGGTTGAGGGTTTAGGGTTTAAGATAGGGCCTTAATAATTAGAATAGGGTTTTGGGGGGCTCCTTATCATAATCCTAGTATAATATACCCCAGACTCCTTCGCCACCTAGATCCCCCAGACCCCTGCACCCTAAACCCTTAAACCCCAAACCCCGAAAGCCGCCAAAGGCCCCAAAAGCTTTAACTTTCCCACAATTAGGGTTTAGGGTTTAGGGTTTAGGGTTTAGGGTTTAGGGTTTAGGGTTTAGGTTCCCACAATGAACGCCGCCGCAGACCTTGAACACGTCAACCTACACTAGGGTTTAGGGTTTAGAGATCCAGGTTTGTCTAGAGTGCCCGATGACACCCTAGTACACGTTTATTTTGGGGTTCAGGGAGTGGAAGTCTGAATATTTCGTTATATTCCATGTCTTCTTTAGAGTCCCCCCATGACAACTGATAACTGTATGTTCATAGACCTATTCTAATTATGACGGCTTTGATCAGCGACAGAAGTGCTCGGGAGTTCAGGTAGTGTTCGGATTGGGAGTTCGCCAGTCGAAGTTGGCATTGCGACCTCGATCGCTGGTTTCGGGTTTAGCGCTTCGTGCCAGTAACCCCCCAAAGTAAACCCTAAACCCCTAAACGCTTAAACCCTAAACCGTACTATACTTTATAGTTCCGAATATATTTACCTCAAACTACCAAACCCTACTTTTTTGTAGGTTCTTATTATAAACCCTAGTATGGAGTTTTTAGGGACCCTACAAAAAAAGTAGGTTTTGGTAGGTTAAGGTATGTTGATATGCAAGACCCCGTTCATAAATTTTGGAAGTTTTCGGGTTGCGCGGACCAGTGTGGTTCAGCGCAGTGCTTGGCCTGCCCTGGCACGGAGGTTTTAATAATGAGAGGTGTTTAGGGTTTAGGGTGTGAGGGTTTTAGGGTTTAGGGTGTAGGGTTTTGGGGTGTTTAGGGTTTGGGGTATGAGGGTTTTAGGGTTTAGGGTGTAGGGTTTAGGGGTGTTTAGGGTTTGGGGTATGAGGGTTTTAGGGTTCAGGGTGTAGGGTTTTGGGGTGTGTAGGGTTTGGGGTATGAGGGTTTTAGGGTTTAGGGTGTAGGGTTTTGGGTTTAGGGGTGTTTCGGGTTTAGGGTATGAGGGTGCAACATAGGGCCTTTAGACTTAAAATAGGCTTCCTGTTTATTGTGCCTTAAAAGGGTCCTGAAAAAGCTACTACAGGACCGAATGAGATCTTGGTTCCAGCACGTAGCCCGGAGACAGCGTCATAAACCCTAAATCCTAAACCCTAAATACCCCAAACCCTAAACCCTAAACCCTAAAATTAAACGTTGAACCGTATTTAATCCGGGCTTCTATGTTGGGGTTCCTTGGCTGTTGTTGAAGAACGTGCTTTTTGTCTATCCTATGAATCGTCCGACCCTGCGAAACGGTAAAATATTATAGGGCTCCTTATCTTTTTTCGATACTATTTTGGCGTTCCTTTATGGTATATGTTTTGTTCGGGGTTCCTTTGTTATGGTATAATAAACACCCCAAAACCCTATTTTCCTTATGGTATATGTTTTGTTGGGGGGGGCTCCTCATTATTAGATTAATAATAGTACAATGGGTCCGAAAACCCTATTTCTCGTTGTTAAGACCCCTACATGAATGTTGACGCGCCGAAACCTGATGGAAGCCCACTGCTCCCTTGGCCTGGTTTGCTATACGGTACTTGCACTGACCGACAATAAAGACTGTTACTTGCTCCCTTGTTGTGAATTGGTTCGACTATGCTAGTATATGTAGATGATAGGACGATGCCGCGAATTTGTGGATCGGGTCTACGGACAGTGTCGCCTGGCAACTGCCTTCGCGCAGATGGAGGCCAACCTCAAGGTCGTCTTCCCTGCAGGCATCGTCGAGTGGGACGGAACGAGAAGCGCGGGGTCCAAAGACAAGTCCAAGAAGCAGGTCACCCATGTCGGCCGGTTCCTCATCGGCTGCCATCGGAGCACCGACCACAAGGTCTTTCTGCCTTTGCCGAACAGAACCACGAAGCTGGGTGCACCAGGCCCGCCTGCTTGCAGAGCCTGCTTCAGTCGACTTCTCATGCCGCTCTGAAATGCTTGTATTGTCACTGCAGGTAGTTTCGGTTCAAAGATTCCTTGCAACAGCAACATGTCATGTCCAGTGGATGACGATTTTGTCCTGGGTCTGGGGGCTGCACTCGCAGCAGCTTTAGACCTGGCCTTCCCGCATGTGGATGCTCGCCGACTTTGGAAAACGGGGTTCCTGAGCCTCGCTCTGAAAGTAACTCAGGCTTCTTTCGCACTCCGATGCTACTTGGGGCCAGACCAAAGCCAGGCCGATCTCCATGTCTTGACACTGGCTGCTTCAGTCCTGGCTTCCTTGGACGCAAGTGATGACATCATCACTGTCATGCCTGTCGAGTTTGCGTGCTTGGAGTTTGCGGCGGACAATGTTTCCTTTAGGCAGCAGGTGCGCAAATGGGCGGGCCATCAGTGGAGATGCTGCCTGGAAGCCTTGTGTGCGGACATCCGCAAGCTTCTGTTGGAAACGCAGCGTCGACAAGCACTCTTCGAGCACACCGTTGCCTTGCGACAACTTTTTCTGGCATGGTCCAGAATCCTGGAAGACATATCTCTCCTGGGCACCGGCCTTTTGCTCTCGCCAAACACTGTCGAAGACAGTGTCTAAAACGCTTGCAGACCGCCAAGAAAAAGAGCTCTGAAGCTGCTTTCTTGGCATCGTTGTTTGGGCTTCCTGCCGTTCCATTCAAGACCTAAACGCTGGAGCTCCCTGCCTAAACCCTCAACCTTTCCAACCCGAAAACACACCTCGAACCACCACCACAAACCCGTTAACCTTGACAGGCCCGCCAGAGAGCGCCGAAGAGGTCAAGAACTTGATCGCGGCGAAAGTCTCCAACAAGCAACACGTGATTGGCAGTGATGCAGGCAGAGGTTTGGCCAAGGCTTACAAAGAGCTCGGTCTCTCCGCTGCTACAGCAGCGCACAGCCGCAACCACTTTACTCCAACCACGAATTTGGGCACCGCAAAGCTTGGAAAAAAAGCTTTGAAATTCCTCGGTAGCAAAGCCAGGGCTAAGATCTCCTCTCGGTCCGTGACCCTTGTAGGGGGGGACCAGAGATGCGAGGCCTTGGCAGGAAGCATGAAGCGCATGCTCCGTCGTCTGGGTCTCCTTGGAAAGGGTGGTCGAACAAAATCCCACATCCAAGGCTTGTCTGCTGTGTTCTTGAGTGAGAACACCGGCCTCGAGGCAGTCGTGCAGGCTT